TGTCAATAGACATTGTTTCGCATATACTTTGTGGCTTAGGCGTTGCGAAGAAGCTTAGTAATGCCGTTGAGCCGGGTTCGATCCTAGCTGCAGGCATTGGGCTTTGCATTAGTTTCGACAGTGGTATCGAGAAGCTAACCGTACAGAAAGAAATGGCAAACTACTGGATGTAAATTTGTATAGAAAACCATAACAGCCACAAAATGGCCTGAGTCAGCAGTGCATGCACTCTGTTGCACCGGCGAGGATTCTGAAATACTTTGGGTAGAATTTTAACTCCAAATTTGGCCTGGGCAGCGCCGTTAGGCTAATCTTGTTGATTTCCAACTGCCAAGGGATTTTTTACGTGCGCAACAACACACACTGGCGTCAGGTCTCACTACCCAGAGACTAGGGGAAATTATTAGAAGTCCACGTGAAAATATCCCAGCCCTCACCAGGGCTTGAACCCAAGACCTCTAGCACTCGAGGCAGACACCATGCTTCGAGACCACAAATGACATGAGTACTTTAAAACACTTTGTTATTCGACCTATATACAAACGTGCTGTCTACTGAACACACGCGATTACTTGCATTAGACTGCAAGCATGCGTAAAATAATGTCAAGAAAATTGAAAAGCAGATGTCATAAATTTTCTCCAAGTGTTGCTTTCTTGTTTGCTCACAGTGCAGCACCTTCTAACTCTATCAGTACAAGGCAGTTTGTGCTGTATTTAGTACTCCACTGACAAACACACTGGTCAGTACTATCTAACTCACTATACTAATTCTTAGCCTTCCCCAGCTGAAAGCTCCAGTGGAAAGTCCTGGTTGTTCATCCGTCTCTGGACCTTGGTCTTGTTTCAGGACTTTAGTCCTAATGAAGCAGCAGCAGCAGCAGAAGAAGAAGAAAAAGAAAAAGATGTAGGATAAAGAGAAGGAGGAGAAGAAAACCAAATCTGTCACATTATAAAACAATACATGCATTCCTTAAGCATAAAAAAAAATTAAAGGCTTTCAGAATGAATTTGATTTTAATATAATGTATTCTGGAGCAATTTCGACAGTATAAACACACATCTCATATTTTAGACCCATAAACCTCACAAATCTTATAGTTTAAACAAAACTCATACAATCCTATATTTTAGACCCACAAATTTCACACAATACTATATTTTAGACCCACACATCTCACACAATCTCATACAATCCTTTACTTTACACCCACACAACTCATCCTTTAAACCCAGAAAATCTCACACAATCTCATACTGTGGACCCACAAATCTCACACAATCCTATATTTTAGACCTACAAATCTCATACAATCCTATATTTTAGACCTACAAATCTCACACAATCCTATATCCCTAAGTACTCCATTCTAAGCAATAGCACTACAGGAAAAATTATGTAATGAAGACAATACAATCTGTGAACTCTCTGTGTGGGTTCTGGGGTCCCGCCTGGGGAGGGTGGGGGGCGATGGTCAGACCTGCAGCCCCTAATAAGCATGTCAAATATGTTGAGTTATTATTGGTTTGATGAAATTGATGTGTTTGGCCGAAATGTGCAGATGCCACAACCTAGCTGTGAACTATAACACAATGTCGCAACTGCACTTTTAAGAGACCAGGTGCTAATGTAAAAGCCAAAGAAACATAAAAACTGACTGGAACTAGAGATACCTGTTACTACAAGGACATGTCAGATGTGTTCCATCAATCAGTGATGAGACGGACGATGCTAAGACATACAAGGGGAAGTCAATAACTAAGTCATACGTGGTTATGGGATGGCAGGAGAATGTAGTTGCTGGTTTCTAAAGGTGTCATTAGGTGACAGCAACATTAAACTTTATGTCTCCGTTCGTAAGCGGGTGCTAGGTGTTGCATCTGCATTCGCAACACAGAAAAAACATGGCGACTGTACTTAAGGAGTGTACCCTCAAAAAAAACAACCTGCTGTTGTATGGGTTTTTTGGGGGGGAGAGAAGGAAGGGGGGAGGGGGCAAAAGGGCTGCCTGCAAAGGATACTGCTTCCTGTTTCCTTTTTATGTTTACAAATGTTTACACAGTAAAGCGGTGCACAGCTAGGTTTAAAAAAAAAAAAGCCAGACCTGCTGACTAAAGTACTGCTCCTTCATGACAATGCCAGACCATATACGGCTAGGTTAACTCAGGAGAAAATTCACCATCTAGTGTGGGAACTTCTGAAACATCCAACTTACAGCCCCTAGCGATTTCCACCTTTTGGGACTGCTGAAAACCCACACAGGTGGGAGATATTTCGCGAATGACGCAGAAGTTGAATGTGAAGTGAAAATGTGGTTTAGAAAACAGAGCACACAGTTTTATCAAGCTGGTTTGGGAGGACTGATAAAATGATTGGACAATTGCATCGATGTTGGTGAAAATTATGCTGAAAAATTAAGGGGCAGAGTATGTGTAAAACTAAATGATTTTTCAATCGTTATCATCTTTAATTTTTTTTAAAACAACCATATGTGACTCACTTATTGACTTCCCCTCGTATGTAACGTGCAGCAAATCATCGTCACTCAGCAGGTTCTTTACAGAACATTGCTTTCATCACAGCATGCCTGAAAGGCTTTCTTTCTCCAGCCCTATGTGCTTTCATAGCTAATGTGTCTTCAGTGTCTTGTATCCACATTCGAGGAGGTCTACCTCTGCCCCATTTTTCAGAAACAGTACCCTGCATCAGCGCTCCTCTCTCCAGGCATTTGCAGTGTAACCAATCAGCACAATATATGTTATTTCATCATATGCCTTGCGAAGAAATGTAGGCGGTTATTTTCACTCATTTCCTGTGATCACCAGAACCACAAACAAGTCAGTGCTCTTGTCCTTCCCCATTCCTATGGCCAAACCATTCAAGTATTTGATCTCTTTGCCATCCCCTTGCTAATTTCCCATCAATATTGCCTGTTGCCAACATACTCTTAGCTCTATTCCTTCTCCTAACATGTCTACAAATATGAACTGTCTACGTCTCACCTGGCACTGAAAAATATTTTAAAGCCATGTCCCAGTCACTGATTATGTACGATTCCTACCACTCATTCTAAAAAGCATCAACCCCAGAACTATACATGGAACAAAACTTACATTCAACCCTTTCACCGCAAAAGGCCCAGGGACACAAGGGACCATTAGCTGGGATTCTTGAAAACACAAGAAACTTTAGAAAAATTATTGTTACATAGCACGTTAGAAAGAAACACAGCCTCATAACTTTCGATTATTTTTTCAACACTACCTGAACACGGAGGAAGAGCAGAAGAAGAACAGGACCCTCGGAGTTTTGGTCATTAAAAAAAACAAAACGGGTCATGGCACTAAATGACCTCAAACAGTGAATACTGAAGTCATAATGACTTTTTAAAAAGTTATTTTGATAAAATACAAGTCACTCAAATGCAATTTTTTAGGAAATAAATTATCCATCCATTCCAACTGAATGTTACGCAGCTGTAAATTTCTTCTTTGCGTTCACCGGCTGTAAACTCTGGTGGAAAGTTCTGGTTGTTCATCCACTTCTGGACTGGTCCTGGAAGCTCCTAATTATTCGACTCTTACGACATGCTTGTGGGTAGGCAGTGGGTGTATTCTAGTTTTTTTTTATAACAAGGCCCCGGAACCCACACGGAGATGTTGTAAACGGTTCCAGGAATTGGCCACTGCTTTAAAGCCGAAATAATTGTTTTATCAGGGTTTTGAAGTTTACAGCAGGGCTGAAATATCGGCTTTTCAAGCCAAAGGGGTTAAGCATACTATTCCTAACATATAAGATTACATACATAAAATCTCCATACAGTCAGATCTTCATAATAGCATGGCCAAAAAATTAAGACTGTCTCCTTCTGATGTTTAAATTATTACCATTCATTCTAAAATACATTGCCTGTAAAACCAGTTGAAATAAATTCAACACATTTAAATTTAAGCACACTGTCCTAATATTCAAGAAGTACACACAAAATCTCCACAGTTAAATCTTCATAATAACACGACGTTAAAAAAAATTAGACTGTCTTCTTTTGATGTTTAAATAATTACCACTCATTCTAAAATGAGTAATCTCTAAAACTCAACATGTTTAACCCTACCAGACCGATGGCCCGATTTTCCGGGAATTTCTTAACCTGACGCTATACCACTGGCCCTAATTTTCAGCTTTTTGCGTAGTGCGAGAAAAAGATGCGTCACAAACTAAAAATAACTAGCCAATCGTAACCAGACCTCGTAGATAGTCTTCCTAGATGTCTGCTCTTGTGTGTTTGGATAACATTTGTTGTTTAACGTGAAAAAATTATGAAAATTCACAATAAAACGAGCGGTTGATGAACCAAGCACTTCGACAGGAAAGTAATGCAGGTCTAGGCTTTTCACAATCCAACAGTTGATCGATACTTTGATTTATTCAGACTCTTCGGAGTCACCATTTCATGAAGAATACGTTCACAGTTGAAGTGACACATTCAGCTCGAATAATGAGGAGAATCTTGAAAATTATAAATCTAGAAATAGCTTTGTAGTAAGAGAAGGGGGCGTGTCCCTCAAACAGCAACATCTGGTGTTCACTTTGTGAAACAAGGTTGATCCTGCTGGGTGGATTAGCACACAAAGGTGAAATATTGGTGCTAGATGAAAGGTTAACCTATTTTCTACAATGTCTCCAGGTTTCATCTTATTCTAGCCACTTGTTTGCATATAACAAATATTTTTGTAAATCATGTTGGTTTTTTCAAGTTAATGCCCAGGAGCTCAGGCATAGGGGACAGTTAGGTTTAGGGCCTCAGGTCTGGTAGGGTTAAGCATACTGTCCTAACATACAAGACTAGACAAGTAAAATCTTCATAATAATATGGCCAACAAATTAGGACTGTTTTCTTCTGGTGTTTCAATTATTATAACTCATTCTAAAAAGCATAACCTCTAAAACCACATGGAACAAAACTCACACATTTAAGCACACTGTCCTAACAGACAAGATTAGACACGTAAAATCTCCATGCAGTTATTGTAACAGATACTGATCCAGTCCGGCTGGGTGGATGACCACTGAATCTGGTTGATCTCTCCCCCAGCTGTGTAAGCCAAGATGGGGTCTTCGATGGCTCGAGGCATCTGCTGGATGTCCCAGATGAGTGCCTGGTGGTCGTCGCCTGAAACAGAAACAGTGATGTTGTAGAACAGCGGTTCTCAACCTGTGGGTCACAACCACTTTGGGGGTCGAATGACCTGTTTACATGGGTCGCCTATGACAATCGGAAAACACATATTCACTGATGTTATGAAGTAGCAACGAAAATACTTTTATGGTTGGGAGGTCACCACAACACGAGGAACTGTATTAAAGGGTCGCCGCATTAGGAAGGTTGAACTACTGTTTTAGAAGAAACTGATGGTAGTAAAAAAAGTAAAAGTAAAGGACCCTTTTCCACGCCTTTAGGCGTATAGGGCATATAGGGCTAGACCTATATTTTTAAAGACCAATCGGCACAGGATGGGTGATATGGTCAGCATCATGCCGGCCACCTTTACTTTCCGGGACTGCACCCGGTCCCCACTCAAGGCCGGGTCGACCTGGAAGCCAAGGTCATTTTTGAAAATAGTCCGGCTCCGCCAGGGAGTGAACCCATGACCTTCCGATCCGCTGCGAGCGTCTTGCCGCTTGGCCACGGGGTCTTCCGAACTGATGGTAGGGTCATGGTTATTACAGAAGAGACACACAAGGGGGTTGGAAACAGGAACTGGTGGATGAATGGACTAATCAGTGAAAAGACTCAATGAAGGATGAACCAATGGAAAACTGAACCGATTGCTGGATAGGTATACAAGGCTACAAATGGCTTGATGTGAGCTGGTTTAGGCCGATGTTCTGTTAGGAAATGAAAGGAAGGAAGGAGGCAGGTACGAAGGGAGGAACAGGGAGAGAAGGCACTGGAGAAAGCAGAGAGAAGATCTGATAGTTGGAAAGATGTCCTGATGCATAAATATAAGGATTAATGGCTATCTTCAAAATAATGGTCCCAAATTATTGAGGCCGAAAATAAACCCCAACAGGGCCTCAGTCACATGTAAACTGCGGACTTCCGCCACCGCTGAGAGAATCTCCCACGTCGCGTGGAGTGGGGCTAAACTAGATGGACTCATGAGCAAATAAAATGAAGGAAGCTGCAGGAGATGCTGTAGATGCTGCTCGTGAGTCCCAGCCATCTAGTTCAGCCCCAATCCACGCCACACGTAGCGGCGTGGGAGATACTCTCGGCGGTGGCGGTAGTCGCAGGAAGTGCGCAATTTAAGTCGCCGGAAGTCGGCAATTTACATGACTGAGGCCCTATTGGGGTATATTTTCAGCCTCGATAATTTGGGACCGTTATTTGGAAGATAGCCGGATTAACAGTTGGCTGGACAAGTACAAACATCTACAAATGGTCTGATGTGAGTTGTGGGGACAGAGGCGGAGCTAGGGGTAGGGAGGAAGTGAGGCAGACTTGATGGCTGGAAAGATGTAATGATGGATGAACAGAAGCATAACAAGTGATCGCCAGACAAGCCCACAACTCTACAAATGGCTAGCTGTGCATCGATTAAGGTCCATGCTCAACTGGGAAATGGAAAAAAAAAGAAAAAAAAAAGGAGAGAGGGGGTAAGAGGGGAAAAGATCTGCACGATTAGATGGCTAAAACATGCAAGGCTAAAATATGCAGAGGACAAAGACACACCCTCACCTGCAGTGCAGATGTGACAACTTGAGTGTGGAGCCCAACCAATGCCATTCACACAGGCCCTGTGGTTGTTGAGTCTAGCCACCGGGGTACAGGGAACACGCACATCAAGTATAATCACCTGGAGAATGGTGGACAAATTAATTGTTAATTAGTTAGTTAATCAAAAGTCTATAACAGGGCTATTCAACTGAGTTGACTCAGGGGTCAAAATGTTCAAAACTGGGGATAGTCACGGGTCAGCATAGAAAGACCATAAATGCAACACAACTAGCAGTGATCCGTGGGCCACTTGCTAGGTCTTGGTGGGCCAGATTTGGCCCGCAGGCCACCAGTTGAATAGCCCTGGTCTATAAGCACTCTGATACCATCTTCAGTATATCCCTTCAGCCTGTGGCGACTGATAATGCCAGTTCTGTATTGGTTTACTATTCTTCTTTGGCCACCTGTAAAGTGTTCATGTTTAGTGTCATCTCCTGAATCATCTTCCCGTCCTGCCTCCTTGAGACCATTGAGAATGTCGGCCCGGTCCATTGATTTTTCTGTACCTGCCGTGGCCCTTCCAGCAAGCCAATCCGCTCGTTCATTCCCTCTTACCCCAGAGTGTCCTGGCAAATTAATTGTGCTCCTGCTAAGTTGAAATGAGGACCTGGATATTCAGAAGAATAAGATGTACTGCATATACAAGGTCCGACAATTGAGTAATGAGACTGATTCCATAAAAATTAAAATAATCAACAGTTAAAGATATAACCTGTATGTGATTCAAAGTAAGCCCATGGTGCATTGATACAGCAAGTGACACGATCTAACAAACACTGGAACGACCTCTGTAGTTCTTCTATTGTTGCGGTCCTTAAAGTCTATGTTACGGCCCTTTGGATATCATCAATGATGTTAAAGAAGCGTCCTTTTAATCTAAACTTTAATTTTAGGAATAGAAAATAATCACAGGGAGATGAATCTGGGGATTAGGGTGGAAGGCTGAGAACACACACTTGTTTTTGGGCCGAAAATTATGGTTTGGATATCTGTTGGGTACTCAACGCGCTTATATTTTTAGTCATCAGACAATGAATGTGGTACAAACCGGCAAGCAACTTTTTTCTTGCCAAAATCTTGAATTAAAATGTTATGAATTGTCTCTCTATTAACACCAGATTCATCTGCCATCATCCTCACAGTAAAACAACTATCTTCTTGTATCCATTCTCTTACTTTTGCAATGAGTTCTACATTACAAACAGAAATGTGACGTCCAGGTCTAGGTGCATTAGTAATCATTTCCACACCACTTTTAAATCATGAATACCGCCTGAAAATGTGTGCATGAGATAAACATTTATCCACATAAACTGGTTGGATCATTTTAACTGTTTCAGTGGCACTTTTTCTGAGTTTTAAAAAGAATTTAATGTTAGTTTTTTGCTCTGTGATGATTACGTAACAATGCACCTCTGACTAGGTCAACAAAATGGCGGCTTGTTTGTTGTCTGCTTATCGAGCAGCTATGAAAAGTTGCCAGATCATAGATAAATGTTGCCTCTTTAGATTCCATGCTTTGCTTCACAGATGACATTTTTGTCTTGGCCATAATAAAATCAGTCTCATTACTTAATTGTTGGACCTTGTATACCCCCCCCCCCCCCCCCCCCCCCACCGAAATATACTGGGGTTCTGGAGGAACCTGGAATGAATTGAGAGCTGTTAAAAGAAATCAGAAAGAGCCAAACTAAATATTCTGGCCTTATTTTTTCTTCTTTGTGTTACAACTGGCAAAGTTTTCTGGTTGTTCTGCCATTTCTGGACTTTAGCTTTGTTCCATAATCTGAGTTTTGCATGCACATACGTTTTACAGCACACAGTTAGTTAACTACTCGCCTCTCTCGTAGATGCGCTCAATCTTTGAAGGAAACCCCTCATTAGTCAACTCTTATGACATGCATGTTAGTGAGGCAGTGGGTTCATTCTTGTTTTTCTCGACATAATGGGGTCCTGGACCCACATGGGGACTTTGTAGTTTAATGAGTGAAACTGTTCAAATTGAATATAAGAATATCAATCGGCTATTCTTTCCCAACCGGATCACTGATAGATTCAAGTGTAATGGCCTTCTTATCAACTAATACAAAAACACCATCAGATAATTGATGATTTTTTTTTTTACAGTTTGGAAGAAAAGGTGCTAGAACTCGCCACAAAGTCTAAAAACGTGTCTGTACTCACAAAAAGGCATCTATTACAGTAGCGCTTAAAAAAGTGATGCCTCAAAAAAGTACCTCCAGACAACAGGAACCCGCTGTCAATGCATAATGCATGTCAAGGGCAATTTATACAAATCAATGATATTGTCTATTTTCTTATGTGGATGTGGGAGCTAGACTGTCACTGTGGAAATGGAACGGAGGGTTTAGGCTTTCCAATGTAAATGCTATTGACACATTTTACAAATTAGTTGTTTAGAACACCAAACTAATATATATGAGACAAAATATACAAATTTGGTCAGGAGCCTCTCTTGGCATTGGTGAAAAGTCGCAAGCTAGCTTGGTTTGGGCACGTGGTGAGACATGATTCGACTGTAAAGACTACTTTAAGGAACATTGGGAGTAGTCGAAGAAAAGAAAGGCAAAGGAGAATCTGGAATTATAACATCAAGAGATGGACAGGACTAAGTTATCATACACTTATTCATCAAAGCGAAAGACATAAAAATGGCGCATTTTGTATGTCAGTGCTTTCATCCATACACCTCCATGACCCTAAGGGGTCAAGGGTTATGTTATGTTATATAATGGATGAGACGGAAGGTTGTGGATGACATGATTACTAAGGAATAAAAGACGAAGCCTAATAAAACCTAATGTTCCATAAGAGTAGACAACCAATCCACCAACCTCAAGCGCATCTAGGGCCATCGTTGCCAGGTAGTTGGGGTCCTGTTTATTCCAGGCAAGTCTCAGCAGAGGCACATGCTGCTGATCCTCGTAGATAATTGTGGAATGCTCTAAGTGACGCAGGTCAAACATTCTGACTGATCCGTCCGCACCTGCAACAAAGTGAGGAAAATTTAATTCAAAACATACTGTAGAATGATACTGGTGACCATTGCCTTAATCCTGTGACCTCTAGCACAGAGGCTACAGGAAAATGTGACAGGAACATGACACACTAGCAAATCAAACAATGGCACACTAACAAATCAAACAATGACACACTAACAAATCAAACAATGGCACACTAGCAAATCAAACAATGGCACACTAGCAAATCAAACAATGGCACACTAACAAATCAAACAATGGCACACTAGCAAATCAAACAATGGCACACTAACAAATCAAACAATGGCACACTAACAAATCAAACAATGGCACACTAGCAAATCAAACAATGGCACACTAGCAAATCAAACAATGGCACACTAACAAATCAAACAATGGCACACTAACAAATCAAACTATGGCACACTAACAAATCAAACTATGGCATACTAACAAATCAAACAATGGCACACTAACAAATCAAACAATGGCACACTAACAAATCAAACAATGGCACACTAACAGATCAAACAATGGCACACTAACAAATCAAACAATGGCACACTAACAAATCAAACAGTGGCACACTAACAAATCAAACAGTGGCACACTAACAAATCAAACAATGGTACACTAGCAAATCAAACAATGGTACACAGATAAATCAAACAAAGGCACACTAACAAATTAAACAATGGCACACTAACAAATCAAACAAAGGCACACTAACAAATCAAACAATGGCACACTAACATATCAAACAATGGCACACTAACATATCAAACAATGGCACACTAACAAATCAAACAATGGCACACTAACATATCAAACAGTGGCAAACTAACAAATCAAACAATGGCACACTAACAAATCAAACAATGGCACACTAACATATCAAACAGTGGCAAACTAACAAATCAAACAATGGTACGCAGATAAATCAAACAAAGGCACACTAACAAATTAAACAATGGCACACTAACAATTCAAACAAGGAAACCCAACAATACATGCTTATATGGGATGGGACAAAACAAACTCTACATGTACAAAAAATAAGTCTGCGTCTGTGGCTTAGGAGCTGTGATTGCATTTCCCAACTCTGGTGACAGGTTTGATCCCATCTGCGAGTGATTTGGCCCAAAACCGAGCGGGGCTTAATTTTCAAAATGACCTTGGCTCCCAGGTCGACCCAGCTTTACAGGGATACCAGGTAAATTCCTGGAAGTAAAAGTGGCCGGCATGATATTGACCACATCATCCACAGAGTGCCGAGTGGCAGTAGACTGCCTTATGTTGGTATCAACAGTGGTGTCAAGAGCCGACCGTTCAGTAGCAATGGCAATCTACTGGACGTAAAACTGCCCAGTGAAATCACAAACAGCCAACCCCCCTGTGGGTTCCAGGGCCTTATTTTAGGGAAAACAAGAATAGACCCACTGCCTACCCAAAAGCATGTCATAAGAGTCGACTAGCTGGGAGCTTCCTTTAAAGTCGGAGTGCATCTGCCTGAGAGGCAAGGAACCAGCAGTCTACATACAAATGAGTCAGATCTGTAAAGCAGATGCACACGCAACACTTAGGTTCTGGAACAGGACAGCAGTCCAGAAGTGGATGAACAACAAGATCTTTCCATCAGAGTTTACAGCTGGTGAACGTGAAGAAGAAGAAGAAAGAAGAAAACAAACGGCCAAGAAATGCTGGGGTTGGTTCTGCAACATCCTGTAAAGGACACAGCTAACTTTAAAAAAACAACAAAAACCACACACACACACAAATGCTTACCAACACTGGCAAACATATCCCTGCCCCCACCCGCTCTGCTGAAGGCTATATCATACACTTCTTTGTCATGTGCAATCAGCTGTGTCTTCACATGACCCGACACCATGTTGACTCGACCCATGACTTGGCCTGTCTGGAGAAAAAAAAAGGATGACATTAGGTAGTGTAGTGAGAACAACATGCAAGAATAAAAGATGATCCTGTACCATCAGAAAAATTAGGGGTATAAAAAAAAAGTTCCTCCTCCGCTCCCCAAATGTCATCAGTGAGAATTGTGTAGGAAAAGATGGCGGGTGTTGGGAAAGGGAAGGGGTGAAGGTCTTCAACTCCCAATCGTAAACAAGACTCACCTAATATAATGGAATGGAGTAATGATGCGCAATACAAGTAATGATGTGCAATACAAGTAATGATGTGCATTACAAGTAATGATGTGCAATACAAGTAATGTTGAGCAAGACAAGTAATGATGAGCAAGACAAGTAATGATGTGCAAGACAAGTAATGATGTGGAATACAAGTAATGATGTGCATTACAAGTAATGATGTGCAATACAAGTAATGTTGAGCAAGACAGGTAATGATGAGCAAGACAGGTAATGATGTGCAAGACAAGTAATGATGTGCAAGACAAGTAATGATGTGCAAGACAGGTAATGATGTGCAATACAGGTAATGATGTGCAATACAGGTAATGATGTGCAATACAGGTAATGATGTGTAATACAGGTAATGATGTGCAATACAGATAATGATGTGCAATACGGGACTCTTATGTCTTTTAGTCTCTCTTGCTCAAGCCTCCCTCACCTTCACATGGGCGAGTGTGTTTTCCCTTGTAATCCAGGGATGGTTAGGGCTTCAAACCTCAGGACAAAAAAGGCAAAATCTGTTTCTGCTGCCTAGCTACTGAGTTGAGTGCATGGTGTGAGATTGTCAGCTGTGAATTCTTCTTCTTCTTCTTTTGTTTCGTTTGAAATAAATTATCTATTTCTGCAATGTTGTTTCTAGTATGAACTTCACTGTCTTTTGTGTGAATTTCATGTGAAATGCTTTTTGTTTATGCTGCAAGAGATTTGACTTGTGATCTGCATATTCAGAAAACAGCTGGCAGTTGGCTGTCACCAAACTGGTAGTATGCCTTATGCATATACACCTGCTGATTTGTCATGATTGCTACTGCTGTTAAGGTTTAACTGCAATTCTAGTGTTGGCCCTTTTAGCAGCTGCCTTATGCATAAAATGCATGTATGGGTTGCAGGTTTGTCATGACTGCTGCTTCTATTAAAGCTTAACTGCAATTCTAGTGTTGGCACCTCTAGCAGCTGCCTTATGAATTTAAAGCACGTACGAGTTGCAGGTTTGCCATGACTGCTGCTTCTATTAACACTTAAATGCAATTCTAGTGTTGGCATCTTTAGCAGTTGCCTTATGCATTCAATGCATGTACGAGCTGCTGGAGTTTGCTGGGACTGCTGTCTGTCGTGACTTTTCACATGGGACAGTGATACATATTTTGTGTGGTTTTTTGCTGCTACAGAAACAGAGCAATAATGGTGGCACCCTCTGACTGTAAAACCTGGAACAACAACTAGCAACTGATAACCTGATAAGACTCACCTCCAGACCCCATATGGTACATGTGGTATCAATGCTTGATGTCCCTAGAAGGTTTGGATCTACTTCATTCCAGTCAAAAGAGGTCAATGGGGCACAAAAGTCTGAGTTTTTGTTCTGAAATAGATTTTAGCAACGATTAACACGATTAATTAATTTTCTTGTCTTCATTCATCAATTAGCAAGTGATCCATTAATAAATAGTCTTGTCTTCAGTCAATGAATGATAAAGCATTGGTCACCAATGGTGTCTTGTCTTCAGTGAATGAATGATGAAGTCACTGGCAATGGTGTCTTGCCTGTCAGTCAATGAATAACAAAGCCACGGATAACCAATGGTATCTTGCCTGTCAGTCAATGAATGAAAAAGTCATTGGTCACCAATGGTATCTTCAGTGAATGAATGATGAAGTCACTGGCAATGGTGTCTTGCCTGTCAGTCAATGAATAACAAAGCCACGGATAACCAATGGTATCTTGCCTGTCAGTCAATGAATGAAAAAGTCATTGGTCACCAATGGTGTCTTGTCTTCAGTAAATGAATGACAAAGCCACTGATCACCAATGGTGTCTTGCCTGTCAGTCAATGAATAACAAAGCCACGGATAACCAATGGTATTTTGCCTGTCAGTCAATGAATGACAAAGCCACGGATAACCAATGGTATTTTGCCTGTCAGTCAATGAATGACAAAGCCACAGATCACCAACGGTGTCTTGCCTGTCAGTCAATGAATGACAAAGTCATTGGTCACCAATGGTGTCTTACCAATTCTAACAGCCACCACTCAACAATAAAAACCTTGGGTCTGTGTAGATTTAAACTAGGGCTGTACCGAATATTCGCTTCGTATTCGCTTCGGGGCCGAATATTGGACCTAATAACTATTCGGTATTCGGCCGAATAGTTGCGGTCGGGCCGAATACGAATAGTGGTTACCTTACTCCCATTTCTGCATACACTGTGATGGACTGAAATAACTCTCTCATTAACACAATAGTTGCTGTTGCCTAAGTCTGTCGTAGCGGGGGAAACTGCGACCCGGTTGCATGTTACAAACTGCATAAAATGCCAACCGCAGTGTGTGTGCGTGTGTGTGTGAGTGTATGTCTTTGTGTGAGAGAGAGAGAGAGAGAGAGAGAGAGAGAGGGGGGGGAGAGATCATGCATTTTTTGTTCTTTTAGGGTGTCTTCGCCCAAATCAAATTTGAAGATATTGCTAACGAGAATATGAATGTGCATTTAAATTACATGGAACGAACGGTTGAGCAAACGATGGTTTTGAAAGAGACGGGAGCCCGAAAAGAACTAATCATCACAGACATCAGAAGGAGACAGTCGTCATTTTTCAGCCATGTTATGAGAAGAGGGGAAAATGGAACATTTGGTGACTACTGGAAAGATCTGTGGAATGAGGGATAGAGGAAGACAACGAGAGAAGATTCTTGACAGTCTTGTTGCATGGCATGAATGTGTGTCAGCACACAAACTGATACATGCTGCAGGAGATATCAGATTGTAGAGAGGCATGATCGCTCACGCCAGTCGGCAAGGTACCTGATGATGATGATACACTATTCGTATTCGTATTCGGCCGAATAGTTTAGTCCCACTATTCGTATTCGGCCGAATAGTGAAAATCACTATTCGGTACAGCCCTAATTTAAACCCATGATATCTGAATCAGTAAGCAAGTGTCTTACCAGTGTACTTCTCTCTTCTTCTTCACCTTTTGGTCACTACAAATGACGAGGCAGACAAGTGCTGCTTCTTGCCCTTCTGGTCGTTTCGACCACAGACACATCGAACAGTTGTCGAGTTTCTCTGACATTATCTTTCCATCTTGTTCTTGGTCTACTTTGTACTCTACATTCCTCTCCTTTGTTTTGGTGAATGCCCTGTATGATATGGCATCACAAGGCATTCTCTCTAAGCGGACAAAACCTATTCATTGGCTATCTTTACCTTGCAGCATGTGTTGTAAGTTTAAACTGTCATAACCTATTTTTTCTGAACTTCTTATGATCCATACAACAATTAGACACAGACAATCAGTATTTTTGGGACATGTTAAGAGAACTCAGTAACAACTGGCTAAAAAGGTGGAAAGAGAGCAAGAGGAAGGCAAAAAGATAAATACCTGGATGGCCTGGCAAGATGCATGGGGCGAGTCAAAAACATGAAACTAACCCATGAATCTGGTGATTGTGTAAGATGGTGAAACATGACAGCCTATGCTTGTCAGCACAGCATGAGATGATGGTGTAATCCCTCCAGTTGTTAAAACTCACCGACTATGGGACAACTGTTACTTTAACCCGACTATGGGACAACTGTTACTTTAACCCATCCTTGCACTACCCTCAATGGTCAGCAGTTTAACTCTTTCAGCCTCCCCAAAATGCCTGATGTGTTGAATTAGAAAATGACATCACAGCACTCAGGACACATGTGCTGCATCCCCATCTTCAGCAGCAAGCAAAGAGTTCCAATTCCGATGGTACTAGTAACTGTCTGATAGTACATCCGTCTCACCTTTCTCTTGAGAGCTGAGCATCAACCAGATTTCCTGGTAACATCCCGCAGCGTCATTCTCTTCAGACCGTAATATTTTTGTGCCTCCACACTGTTCACTCGCTCCCAAAGGGCTCTCACAACATCTAGCTTTTCATACATAGATTCACCACCAAGTAGTGCAGAACCGGCCAGTCCATCTACCTGCTCATTTCCCAACACACCAGCATGACCCTGGAGAAAATATTCAGACGCTAACTACACAAGCACTCTGACGCTATGTCTGCCACTCTGCAAACAGCATGCCTGTCTTCACCTTTCTCAACACACTATGTGAGTCAGTTACAATTACGATATGTGTGTACAGCTGATTTTCAATCCAGCAGAAGGTAGCAGTGACCACTTCTACTTCCATTCTCAAACTAGATGTTGTTGAATCAAACTAGATGTTGTTGAATCATATGCCAGGCTTCGTGGCACTAAGCGACATCCATTTGCTTTTGCTATGAACCCCCATGCACTTCATCTACCTCTCAACACAGAGCCAGCTGTATAGATAATCACATCCCCTGGGCAGGAACTGTCATGAATTATTCGTTGAGCCTACAATTCTGCAAACCAGCTGGCCAGTCCCTGCACTCACGACCTAAAGTGGGTCTGATTTGTGAATGATTCTACCCACTGATTTCCCTCCACTGCGTGAAGTGTCCTCTTAATTGTAACAATTGGTTAGAGCATACTAAAGAAACCTGGCTCCCCTGGTATTCACCTTTCCTGTGTATATTGCCAGCTTGAAAGTAAAGAACTCATGATTTACATCATGGTTATTTCTTTACTTTGCCTTCTGTGGCATCTTATACTGAAAAGTTAACTAAGTCTACAAATCTGGGACCAAGTGAAGGCTATGCCAGGATAAACAGCTGCCTGGGGTGACTATTCTTTCAGGAAACACCCTCTCCGTGCCAAGAAAATAAAACAAACTAGCCACAGAAACAAAAGTATTTACATTGTTCAGTAAACATTCCAGTCTGGTCTCTGTATCCCCCACTCTCCAAACTCGCAGGTAATCTCCTGAGGTCGCTAGCAGATCTGGGAACACTCCTTTCTATTGAATAAATTATAAAACAAACAAAAAAAACATTCATTTCGTTTAACAAACAAAGACATTGGAAGTCAAAAATCGTAAACACTTTTAATGCAGGTTCAAACACATTCACACTGTGGTGATAGACAAACCACTGTGATACTACAGCTAATAACAGTCAAACAATTGTCACATACATATATCTAACGAAATGTACGCATATTTATTCATGTTACAAGGATGAAGATTTCATTTGTGCGGCAGTTGTGTCATAGTACTCAATACGGCCGATAGTCTATAGTTTACGTATAGGCTGGCGAAATTCATTATGTAATAATTCTACGTGTGTATAGCCCCCTTATTATGTCCTGATACTTCCGTCAACGACAAACTGCACTGGTGGTGACTGTTGGCTTTGGCGTCTCCAGTCTTTTCAAATGGGACAGGGAGGATGTTTCATTTGATTTTCACTACCGCAGGAATGGAGCAAGTATCAGGTTACCTGATTGCAGTGAAGTTGAAAGCTCGACTAAGACTAAGAGAAGGATGAAGAAGAAATAGACATCACATTAAAGATTGTTAGTTAGTTAACAAATTATCCTCAATGAACATGAAGCCATTCAGTCCATAAGTGCTTGGATCTCTCCTCATTAAATCGATCAGGGTGTAGTGTCTGACGTCACCTGCCCTATGTTGGTTTTCTAATTCTTCTTTGGCTTCATGAATAGTGTTCTTGTCTGGACACACCCCTTTTAACATGCCGTTCTTGCAGTCTGGTCATGGTTGCAGATTCACAGTCATCCCTGGGTTCTCGCAAACTTATTACTTCTAGCAGAACATTCATTTATCAGCCTGGTTCATGGCACGTCCGCCCTCCATAGTAGCTTTAACTGCTTGCTTATTTTCTTGCAGACCAGTGTTCCCTGGCATGAATATACAGTTACGCATAGATGCACAAATTCCTCAGCACTAAACATCAGACATTAATTCCTGTCGTGTGTAGAAGACCAATTCTATGAACTGCCAAGCACGCTAGCATAGTTGGTTAAACCAGTTGCATGGCAACCGGGTGACAAACTCCTTGTGGTCCAGGTTCACTCAGGGGTAGGTAGAAAAGCCACATATTTCCCATATTTAACATGGAACCAAGGTCGAGGGGTTTGCGATATCAATAGTACCGAGCCAAAGGATTTACAACTCATGGTTTCTGGATATTTTAAAAAAATCTAACTATCTAACTAGCTAGTGTGATGACTGTGAATGTGCAACCATGACTGCAAGAACAGCATGTTAAAAGGGTTGTGGCCAGACAAGAACACTATTCATGAAGCAAAAGAAGAATAAGAAAACCAACATAGGATAGGTGACATCAGACAATACACCCTGCTAGCTAGCTAACTAATCTATCTAGCTATCTAATCTATCTATCTATCTGTCTGTCTGTCTGTCTGTCTGTCTGTCTGTCTGTCTGTCTGTCTGTCTGTCTGTCTGTCTGTCTATCTATCTATCTATCTATCTATCTATCTATCTATCTATCTATCTATCTATCTATCTATCTATCTATCTATCTATCTATCTATCTATCTATCTAATCTAATCTAATCTATCTAATCCATCAAAACACCCCATCCACCCATCCATCTAAGAATTTGATACTTCTCTAAGATGAGACTTGTAGTGTTAGTCAAAACTTCATACGCTGAAAAATGGCCTAAAGAAAGAGTGTCAAATAAATTTACTTATGACAACACCACAATATTTTTAAAAAAGAAGTCAGAACTCACCGAATCTGGAATCCACATAATTTTTGTAGTTGGGTATGGATGGTCAAATGTGCTTTTTGCAGAAAAATCGGATGTCTCTTCATCTAAACTGACAATCTGAACCTGCAAACAGTCAGTCTATATTTTAATTACTGTATGAAGCAAACAACGGTAGAGAAGACTAGGTAAACTACAGCATTCGCAGATGATGCATCCGGATTCCATGTCTTTATATAATTTTCAATTTTTTTCTATTGCCCAGAATGGTCCCAGGTATCTACATTTTTGGTATCTCTCTCTACCTTGTTTTGTGTTCACTGCTGAAGGGGAACTGGCATATTGTGTTGTGGGTTACAGCTAGGCTGCTGTATCTGCACCCTTTGGCCCAACACACTTCAGAAAACACCTCATCAGTTATCTTTCATGTCAGCTCGTTAAGAGTTAGTGGACTTTCCTTTCAGAATGAGGCCTGAAACAACCCATACAGCAAATTTAAAGTTTTTATAGTTTTATATTTTTCTGTTGACTTCTTCTTCTTTTCTGTTGTCTAGAAAAGGGCTATTCTGCTGGCAGACCATGGGCTGAATTCGATCCACAGAGGCCTAGTGATTGGCCCGCTGATCATTGCCAATCTTACTGTATTAATGATCTTTCAACCCTGGGGTTTAGGCTTCTGGCCGATAACGATCCCCATTTTCAATATTTTGGCCCCTGGGTAAGCTTAGTTGAACGGTCCTGGTCTAGAATGTTCCCTAAAACTCACTCATTCTGGCTTCCATGAGTGCTAGTCAATACCTACAGATTTATTGCCGTTAGTTTATAGACTACAACTACTGGGAACTCTACTGCGGAGGGTTATAAAATGATGCAGGGTTGACTATAGCAACAGCCAGTACATGCTGCTCTAGTACTGGACTCACCCAAGGAATCGTAATGTCATGCCTATTCGGTCCTTATAATGAACCTCCCTCTCATCACAGGTGGTGTCTTTGGGTAATGGTAAAAAAAAACAGTCCGCAGGCAAGAAACTGTTAGGCACTCCTTGCAACGGTGACCCTAGGGGACCTAATCCAGTGTTTGTGTAAGCCTACCTAATAATTATATTCTTTCATCTTTAATACTGTTTGGAATTAGAGTTAGAGTTAGGGCTAACCCTAACCCAAGCACTAACCCTAAACCAAACCCTCATCCTACCATAAAGCAATATTAAAATATTACAGAACATATTATGTGAATGTACACAAACAATGGATGGTCTCCCTTTTCATCCCCATAAACAACCACTGACTGTCCACTTAGGGTCCCCGTTGCAAGGAGTACAAGGAGTGGCACCGGTTCACAGGCGCCAGGCAGACGAAACATGACGGTAAAAGACATGCAATTAACTGACCAAGAGCTCACCTTATTGTTATACTCCTCAACAAAACTGCCGAGGGCCAAGCGAAAGCGCTTGTCTGGCCTGACACTCCAGTTCATACTGTAGACCGTCCAGGGCGCTTCATATTTGTAGATTTCTTTCCGTTTGCCAGGCGGGATTGGTGGCATCGCCATATTCTTGAAGTGAAGAATGGTGACGAATGGAGGAGACTTATATTCTGTAAAAAAATAAAAGCATACACAATGACCATAAAAAAGAAAAAGATAATTTCGAAAGATGCGCTGTCCCCCCTCCCCCTTTTTTTTCACTCCATATTATTATTGGTACAAACCTTTAACTAAATTGTCATAATTTTTTCATGTGAGCTCAATCTTAATCATTATTATCATTTTTTCATGTGAGCTCATCTTAATCATTATTATCATTTTTTTCCACCATTAGCATCTTTTTTTTTAAACAGCTTTTATAGATGCTGGAGCAAAGATCACTAACATAACTATTTGAGACTAAAAAATGCTCCCACACAGACTGTGGGAATATTAATCATCGTCATGTGCCCTGCCAACTGGTGTAGGCGCTCATGCGTCTCCACAGATCAGGATCCCTGGTTGACTGGAACAGCTCTCTTGATATTCCTCCATGCTATCGTTTTAGCCCATCCAGGATCATCTCTCTTGGTCTGCCTCTACCCTTTTTCCACTGATCTTTCCAGTTGTCACGATCGATGTTCTCCAATGTCTCTCTTCTCATTGTGTGGCCAAAGAACAGTGTTTGTCTCTTTCGTATTGTTGTATATAGATATCTACTTTCATTAGCCTCTTTCAATCAATCGTCGTTAGTTACTCTGGCCATCTAAGGTATTTGTAACATTCGTCTCAGAAACCACATCTCTGTTGCTTCCAAATTCTTTTTAATTTGTTCAGTGACATTCCAAGATTCGCTGCCATACAGCAAAACAGGTTCTATGTAACATTTTAGCACCCTCTTTCTGACATTAAATGAGAGCTATTTATTGCATAAGATATTTTTATTTTCTGAAATGCAGCTTTCGCTTGACCTATTCTTATTCTGCTTTTAATCTCTGTTACACATTTTCAATCCGATGATATTATTGTTCCCAGATATTTAAATTTATTAACTGGAACAATTTAAGAAACAAAAAATCATATTTTTCAATAATCTTGTTAGAATGCATCACAATAACTGTATAAACTTTGTGAAACATGAACAAGCATTTTAAAATTCACATTTCCCCACTTAACTCTTTTAGTACCATGCAACTCAAACATGCATTCATTCCCAAAGACAGTATACATTCTGAATCTCTTATTTTGCAGATAATTGTTACATTAACTAACTACAGACTGTTAGTCTTACTCCTTCTGTCCCAGTGTATAATTTTAACCACCGAGGGCTCAACTGCTTCTTTTACCCAGAACTTCTCAAAACAGATGGAGTTAAGCTGATACCAAATGAGTTAAGTGTCAACATAGAGAAATGGATGAAGCACAGTTGGATCATATTTATTACTAGTTACCCAACAATGTACTTTTTTTTAAAAATGTTAATATTACCACAATACCTAACTAGAGTATATACTTATGGCTATCTGAAACATTAACTTTATCAATAATAAACACAAACAAAGAATAGTTTATATTATATAGTTACACTATTAGTGTAGTAAAATTATTCTATATACAGTGTATAATAAATTGTACAAAAACTCCACACTGTCCACAGATTGTTAGGTGCTTTGTTAAAATCCTACCCCAAACAGGGGAAATCAACAGGTCACTGGAGAGACTAATATTTCAGGGGGTGGAAGACAGGCTGCATGCAGTCATGGGACCTGGGCTACACTCTCTGTGGGACGTAGGTGGGTTGGGGTTAGGGCCAGTTCTAGATGTTTTGGTATTGTTAAAAGCACCCTCTAAAATGTTTGACTATCCTGTGACATAATCTGGGGTAGGATATTGGGAAAGAACCGATTGTTATAATATACTTTATCCTGTAAATCTCCTTCTTCAGCATTCCGAACCATTGAGGCTTGTGGTTGCAGATATCACCCACCTCAATTAATTGCTGTCTTTGGTTCATCTTTCCAGTTGGTAGCTCTGTTTATAAGCATACCTGTAAACCATATTTACTCGTGTGTAGGCCACGCCCAGTTTCTGAGATTATAATTGGGGGGGGGGGGGGGGGAATGTTTCTTAGAATTTCATCAACAAACCAAAACCAAAACAGTAGTATATGTAAGCAGTGAAAGACAGGAATTCTTCAGAGTGAATTTGAAGCTAGTTACAGCTAGCCAAGGTGCTTTAAAGCAAGAAATGACTCGTAATTCGGCAACAGACAACAACAGTGCAGCGACTCCCCGATTCCTTCCATGAAAAACTGACTGCATTTTTTACTCGTGATTCGGCAACAGACAACAACAGTGCAGCGACTCCCTGATACCTTCCATGAGAAACTGACTGCATTTTTGACTCGTGATTCGGCAACAGACAACAACAGTGCAGCGACTCCCTGATACCTTCCATGAGAAACTGACTGCATTTTTGACTCGTGATTCGGCAACAGACAACAACAGTGCAGCGACTCCCCGATACCTTCCATGAGAAACTACAGTTTTGACTCGTGATTCGGCAACAGACAACAACAGTGCAGCGACTCCCCGATACCTTCCATGAGAAACTGCAGTTTTGACTCGTGATTCGGCAACAGACAACAACAGTGCAGCGACGCCCCGATACCTTCCATGAGAAACTGTTTGCATTTCAAAGACATGTCCTGAAGTTACAGAAGACACACAACTACAGCATGGGGGCAACTGGAGATGTAGATAAATCTCCATTATTCTTGGATGTGCCAGGTGAAATAACTGTGAACAAAGCTGATGGGGGGGGGGGGGAGGGAACAGTGCACGTACGGACTTCATTTAAGAGCACAAAAACAGCAGTGTGCCGCAATGTTAGGTATTGCCGACAGACACAAACTCCCACCTTCATCATCATCAACAGGTGCCTTGCTGACTGGCGTGGGCGATCATGCCTCTCCATAATCTGTGATCTCCTGCAGCATGTATCAGTTCGTGTGCCGACACACCTCCATGCCATGCAACAAGACTGTCAAGCATCTTCTCTCGTTGTCTTCCTCTATCTCTCCTTCCACATATCTTTCCAGTGGTCACAACATGTTCTATTTTCCCTCTTCTCATAACATGGCCGAAAAATGATGACTGTCTCCTTCTGATGTCTGTGATAAGTCGTCTTCGGGCTCCCGCCTCTTTCAAAACCTCTTGGTTGCTCTTATTGGCTGTCCAAGGTATTCTAAGCATTCTTCTATAAAACCACATCTCCGAGGCCTCCAGAAATTGTTTGGCCTGCCTACCGATTGTCCAGGATTCACAGCCATATGTTAAAACTGGATGTATGTAGCAAGCAAGAATTCTTTTTCTAACTCTCAATGACAAGGATATATTGCACAAGATGTTTTTCATTTGATAAAATGCAGTTTTTGCCTGTCCTATTCTATTTCTTATCTCAGTTATGCATCTTCCATCTGATGTTATCCATGTGCCCAGATACTTAAATTTCTGTACTTGTCCTAAAATAACACCATCAATTTTTATTACACACTTAGTAATAATTCGTTTCTTTGATACCACCATTACTTCTGTCTTCCCATTATTCAAACTGAGGCCTATTCTTCCACTTTCTAACACCACAATGTCTATCATTTCCTGTAGTTCTTTCTGACTTGCTGCTATCAAGACTGTGTCATCAGCATAACGTAAATTGTTTATATTGTGCCCACCAATCATAATTCCTGGCATACCAATTAAAGCTCTCATTATATATTCACTATATATTGAAAACAAATCAGGTGACAGTACACATTCTTGTCGTACGCACCTCTTTATGCTTTGAAATGTACCTAAACAGTTGTTAATTCTTATAGCTGCTGTTTGCTGCCAATACATATTCTTTATTATTCTTTCCCATCAATGTTTAATTTTTCTAACAGTTTGATTACTTCTTCATGCTTCACACAGTCAAATGCTTTTGTATAGTCTATGAAGCATATGTACAAATCAGTCTTTGCTTCTATAGCTCTTTCTGCTTAGGATGTATATGGCATTGTTTGTACCTTTTCCTTCTTCAAATCCACATTGTTCATCGCTGATTTCTGGTTTAATTTTGTTTCTTATTCTTCTCATAATTATTCTCAGTAAAATCTTAGTCATGTGACTCATAAGACTTATTGTGCGATGGTCTTCACATTTTATAGTGCTTGGTTTCTTAGGCAGAGCTATAAATATGGATTTTAAAAGGTCATTTGGAATATACCCACTATTATAAATATCATTTAAAAGTTTAGTTATTATTTCAATTCCAAAATCTTCCAGTGCTTCGATTTCCTCCGGTGAGATGTTGTCTGGCCCGGGTGCTTTTCCTTTATTCATATGATGTATTGCATCCTCAACTTCTGCAGTCATTATTGGTGGACCATCACCTTACCTTATTTAAAAAAGTAAACTCATGCCTGAGGAGAAGTAACACCTGGTATACTGGTAAGAGTGCAACAGAAAGGGTGAATGGCTTATAAATTGTTGGCACTACTTTGAACAGTGACCTTAACAGTTTGTTTACGGCGACCAAAAGGGACACAATCCATTGTTTGCGTATGTTCACATAATTTGTAAAACTTAATATGGCTTCAGGTTAGGGTTTGTGTTAGCCCTGTCTCCAACCATAATTGTAAACAATAATAAACGTTAAAGACTTTTATAATGTGGACTTACACAAACATAGGGCCAGCATTTAAAGTATTATTAGGTAAAATTAGATTGTGTCCCTTAGGGCGTCGTTTGAAGCTGAGAGGCATGGCCTTGAGTGCTGGAGGTCACGAGTTCAGGCCCTGGCCAAGGCTGGAACTTGTTCACGAGGACTTCTAATAATTTCTCATGGTCTCTGCGTAGTAAGATTGGATACTCATGTGTATTGTTGTGCACGTATAAAATCTCTTGGCAGTTGGAAAAAGAAAAGAGTAGCCTAACAGTAATTTTTACATTCAGTTATATGTCAATGCTTCTAAACGGTCAGCCATTGTTACCACTGTTGAAATCAAAGCAAGACAAACCACTCGCAGCTAGGATCAAACCCAGCAT